GGCCGGGCACTGCTGAGGAACCCAGTGGGAGGGAGCCGTGGAAGGGGGAGGCGGTTGAAGGCCCCCCAGGCGGCCCCCTCCTCTTTCTGGAAGGAGATTGCAAGCTTTGGATCCCACGGGGGCCTGGGTCAGAAAACCCCCCCTTGTGGCGCAAGAGGCAGCCCCCCCCCCCCCCCCCCCCCCCCCCCGGCCCTCCTCACTTGAGCAGCTGCCTCCAGCCCTGGAGGTATTCTCGGAGGAGGATCTCCCCCCGGGGGGAGAGGCTGGCCGAGAAAGCCCTTTGCAGCTGCCGGATGTCAAACTCTTCTTCCCGCCAGAGAGGGAGCGGGGGTGTCGGGGTCCCAGCAGAGGGAGGGGGGGGCTGCAGAAAGAGAAGGAGGGGCTGGAGGTGGGTGGAGGGAAAGGATTAAAGTCCCCCCCCCCCGTTTCCTTCTTACTTAACGCCTCTTCCTTCAGTTTTAAGTTCCATCCCCTCCCACTCACTCACCGGTTGGGAAACCACAGTCCCCAAATGCCCCACAGGCAGTTCATCTCCACGCACACAAACACACACACACACACACAAAAACACAAACGTTGTGGAAGGCATTTCAGAGTCCCGTCCATCTGCCCATCGCCTTGCTGGGATTTCAACCTCCCTGCCCACCCTCCCTCCCACCCCCAGTTATTGGGCCGGTGGTCCCTCAGCTGCCGCAAAACTCCGGAGGGTCTTTGGCGCCCCTCCTCATCAAGGGGGAAGAAGGTGCGGCTCCCCCTCCCTCCCCGACTGATAAGGCCAGCAAAGCGGCTCTCCCTCTCACCTCTTCCTCCTTGGGCAGCGTCTTCCCAGGCCATGGGCACCGATGCCCACCCCGGGCACAGGCAGCCAGGGAGAGCTTTGCTGCAGGAGGAGAAGCGCAGGGAGGGTGAGCTGCAGCCTGGCCACTTTGGCCCCTGCCCGCCTCCCCCTCCCCCCTCCGCCCGGTCCCTGACTTACGGAGGTGCCGGATGGAGAGGAAGAGCAGGAGGAGGAAGAGCCCCAGGAGGAGCAGCAGCTGGCAGGGGCGCAGGGGAGCCCCCATCTCCAGCCTCTTGCCTCCTCCGCCAGGAGGGACCAGCCAGGCCTTTGCACCCTGCCCTCTGCCCTCTCTTCCGGCAGAGATAAGGAGGAGGAGGAGGAGGAGGAGGAGGCTCCAAGGGGGCCCCTCCAGCAGGGCTCCAACTATATTACAACACTCTTGGAGAGGCCAGGGGTAGCTGGCGGGGCAGAGGGCTGGTGCCCCCCCCCCCCAGGCGCCTGGTAAGGCTGCTGGGGCCCTCCAGGGGGAGGGGTGAGCAGGAGACCCCAATGCGGTGGGGGTGGGGCAGCCTGCCAACCTTTCCCCCTGGGAACCTCTGGGATGGGGGAAGAAGAGGCCCGGGACAGGAGGGGGCTCTGCCGGACAAGGTGCAATCTCTCCAGGCCACCCCCTTTTTGTCAGGCTGCCAGATCTGCCCCACCGAGTCCCATTTGGGGCTTCCAGAACTTCCATGTGTGCCCACCTCCCTCTCGCCCCCCCGATTGATTGGGGCTGCCGGAGCAGAGGCAGGAGGAGGGGGTCTTGCACTTTGGTGCCCCCCATCCCCTCCCCGATCCTGGAATGCTATGGGCGGCTTCCCTCCCTGCTTGCTCCCTCCAGTCCCAGGGGCCTCCGAGGTGGAGGCTGCGTGTGCTTTTCTTAAGGTGGGGCTCCTCTTTTCATTATGAGGGGGGGGGGCTGGCAGTGGGATCCAGAACTGGAAGCGAAAGGGCCCAGATGGCACCACCTGCATGAAAGCCTCTTGTGCCGCCCTTGAAAGAGCCGGAAACGGGTTCAGGCTGCCCAGGGAAGGGCAGGGTGGGGCACCTAAGGGGGGCAGCCGGCTTTATCCAAGGGGGGGAATTTAGCAGGGGCTCCCCACGGAGCCCCACCCAGGAGGAGAAGGAAGGGCGAGCACATTTTGCTTGGAGGTGGGGGGGATAGTCCCCCACTTTAGTGGGCCAAGATTCAACTCGCCACTCGTGCCCCCCTTCGAGATGCTCCCACTTGGCGGCCTGTCAGGACACACCCTCCCCCCTCACGGCCCCATCGCAGAAGTGACCCTTCCGGCCCCGGGGGTGGGGGAGGTTGCGGACAAAGAGCAGCAGGGGATCCATTGAGGAGAACAGTCTGTGCCTGGGGGTCCCCCAGATCCCTGCTATGGCTCCTTCCCCACCAGCCCCCCTCTCACTCCAGAGGGCCAGGAAGGGGTCGGGGCGCCTGGGACCCCTCCCGCCCTCCAGGCACCAGCCCAGAAGCAGCCCAGGAGGGCAAAGGCCTCTCCAGCCCAGGGGCTGGGGGGCTCTCTGCTGCTCTTTAGAAACGTGGGGGAGTTGGGGGGGGGCAGCTGGAACCTCCCCCTCCCCCATCTTTCAGGCTCCCTGAATCGGCTTCTCCAGTCCGGCTGAGCCACAAAGGAGCCAGAAGGAGCCCGGTGCTTGGTCCTGGCAGGGGAGTCTCCTCCCTGGGGCGACGATGGCAATGACAAGGGCCTCCTTTGGAGGGGAGTGGGCTCCTTTGGCAAACGCCTGGCTCTTGGGCAGTTGCTTATGGTGCCCCCCCACCCCCTATTCTACCCCTCCCCCTCCAAGCATTGTCCTTGCCAACCCATAGTAGCATTTAAAGCTCTTTTAGCTCCTCTCGGGCTGCAGGATAAATTGGGAGGGGCCGTATTAACATCATTGGAGGGTCCCAACACCCAGCATTGGCAGAGAAGGTGGCCCAGAGCCCCCCTCCCTCTTTCCTGCCCAGGTGAGGAGAGTCCGAAGCCCCCCATTTGCTCCCTTGTGCCCAGAGCTGCTTTCACCTTTGAGACCCTGGCTCTGAGCTGGTTTCCCCTCTCGGACCCCCAGAGCCCCCCCGACCCTCTGGGACCCGCCCCTCCAGGCAGGCCAGGGGGGGGGCTTCCCAGGGCCCAGAGGGGCCTCCTGCCAGCCCGGCCTTTGTCCTTCCTGGAAAGGGGTTCGAGAGCCAGGCTAGGATTTCCACACCTGTTTTGTTCGGCCTAATCCCAACCGGTTGAACCTGTCCCCTTCAGGGGCCCAGGTGGGATCTTGGGAGTCATTCGATCCTGGCCACCCACCCACCCCTTTTGGGCAAGAGGGTATAAAAGCAGAGCAAGGGCACCCCCGGGCAGAAGCTGCTGGGCACCATGGCAGCTGTCAGGTTGTGGCTTTTGGTGGCAGCCCTGGCAGGAACCGGCGTTGCTGTGGAAAGCTGGCCGGCCATTGGGGTGTCCAACGGGGGTCCCTGGGGTCCCTGGGCCTGGCAGGAGATGTGCCCGCAAGGGACCTATGCCACAGGATTCAGCCTCAAGGTAATCGCCCCTCTTCAGCCTCTTCCCTGCCTTCCCTGGTTTGGGGCCCTGCTTGAGGAGGAAGGTGCGGGGGGGGGGGAGCCCAGGGGAAGAAGGGTGGAGGGGCTGCAGCGCCCCCCCCCAGGGAATGCAGACCAACCAGGCGAGAGGAGGGAGAGCCGAATGCCCCCGAGCACCTACAGAGCCTTTCCTTCATTGTCCCCCACGCTCCCCGTTTCCCTGACTTGGTAAGCAGGTAAGCATCTGGGGTCCGAGCTGCTCTTTGACCCCTGCCCTCCCCTCCCCCCTTGTGGCCTGAGCGTCCCTCGGTCTTTCCGTCCCAGGTGGAGCCTTATCAGGGGCAGGCGAAAGACGACACGGCCCTGAACGGCCTCCGGCTGCATTGCACGCGGGGCAGCCACGGTGGGAGGGCCAAGGCCACAACGGTGGAGTCCCAGAGCAACGTGTGAGTCGGTCCCCTGCTTGCCTCCCTGCCCCCCCCCCAGCAGCCCCCCTTCTCCTCATCTCTGCTGGGCCCCAATGCCTCCCCCTGCCAGCCCTGGATGCCTCGCCTTCGCCCTAGCGTTGCATCGGGGCGGGTGTGGGTGCGTTGATGTCGCCAGGCGCTTCCTGCGGTTAGAAATGTCGCCCGCAGTGAGGGGAGCCCCGGATGTCCCGGCCAAGCCCTCCTGGCACCCGGGCGAGCGGGGGGGGGGGAAGTGGTCCTCCCCTCGGAAGCTTCTCTTCCATGGAAAGCCAGGCGGTGCGACACACTAGGGGGCAGAAGGTGGCAGGAGGGGAGGGGGCTTGCCAGCATTTAACCTTCTGGCCTCTGCCTCCCCTCAGGTGGGGCCACTGGACTGACCCCCTCTGGTGCTCCCCGGGCAGCTACCTGACGGGCTTCTCTCTGCGGGTGGAGGGTGTCCGGCGTGGCATCACCGACTACATGGGTGCCACCAACATCCGCTTCGCCTGCTCAGACAAGAAGGTCCTGGAGGGGCCAGGGCTGCCTTGGGGGGAGTACGGAGCCTGGAGCCCCTCCTGCCTGAGGGGCCTGTGCGGGATCCAGACCAAGCAGGAGGCCCTCCGGGGTGTCCTGGTGGATGACTCCGCCCTCAACGACCTCCGCTTCCTCTGCTGCACCCAGTGACCCCCACGGAGCCCCCACAGGTAGGTCCTGGCACAAGCAGCCCCCCCACCCCATGGCCCGATCCCCCCCACTTTGCCCCAGCCCCTCCTCTCCGGGAGCCCTGCAGAAAGCGGGACAGGAGCCCCAGACACCTGGGGGCCTCCTCCCCCTGCTCCCCTAACCAGCCATCCATGCAGCCCCTCCTCCCCCCTCACGTACCCCCCTTCCCTGGAGAGAGTGGGAGCAACCTCTTTTGGGGGTCCCTGAACACCCCCCTCTCTCCCTGCCCCAGAGCGGTTCTGCCCAGGAGTGGCCAGCAAGTCTCTTCCCAGCCTCCCCAAGTCAGATGCCCACATCTCAGCTGCAGACTGGCCACTTCCGGTCCCTCAACTCTCCCTGTCCCCCCCCCCCGGCCCCTTCCTGGCTCTCAGCACCGGCCTTTTCTCCACAGGTCCCCCCCCAGCTTCTCCCAGGACCCCCCGCCTGACTTCTGCCAAGAAGACCCCTCAGAGTGGACGGAGGCTGCAGCAGAGAGCCGTTTATTTGGGGGCTTCCAATAAACCTTCGCAATTGCACCCCCGCTGGCCAAGAGATTTGTGGGGAGGGGGCAAGTGGGGGGAGGAGTGGATGTTGGTGCGAGTGCTCCGGTCGGTCGGTCGGTCGGTCGGTCTCACAGGCCTTCCCCCTGGCAGGGAATCAAAAGGGCAGCAGCCGTGAGCTACAGGGTAGCCAAGAGAGCTCGAGGGTCTCGTGCCCCCCCCCGGGTGCTTGCAACGTCTCTCCGTACAAGGCCAGCAAGCGATGGGGGCGGGGCTTTACTCCCAGGGAGGGTGCCCCCCTCCCCCGGTCTCCTTGGGCCATCTGCTCCCTGACCCCCCCCCTCCAGCCCTCCCGTCCCAGGCGCCTCCTCCGCTGCCCACTTACAGCTCGGTCGTTGTCCTTGCGGCAGTCGCCACAGACGGTGCCCAGGAGGCCGTTGACCACCTGGATGCCGCAGAGCACCAGCTCCAGCAGGCTGAGCCCCAGCAGGATGGAGAAGAGCACGACGTGCCAGAGGACGATGGAGGGGGGGTTCACGCACACCTCCCACACGGTCTGGTTCCGAAGATAGCTCTCACTGACGGGGGGGGGGGAGGAAGAGCTCGGATTTGGAAGGTGGGCACACCGAAGCCCCTCCCCTGATGCCCCACTCGCTCCCATGGCAGAAACCTCGCCAGCCGTGGGGGGGGGGGGCTTCCTGTCCCCCAGCCCTGCTCACCTGAGGTCCTTGAAGGGGGAGGCCCACTTCTGACCCTCCATTTCACACCAGGGCCCGTCGGCCAGGGCTGTGCAGGAGACCACCAGGCAGTAGAAGGCCCCCAGGCCCCCGAAGATGGAGCAGAAGACGGAGCGCAGCATCTGCCGTGGGGCCAGAAAAGGAGGTGGGGGAGGGCTCGCCCCTCTGGCTCCTCTCTCCGCCATGCACCCACGGGCCCTCCCTGGCAGCCCAGGGCCCCGAGCGCCGAGCCCCTGGCTTTGCACTGCCTGCCATCCCTGTCTGTTTCATGGGGCCACCTGGCGGTCGGCTTAGCCGCTTGGCCTGGCTGGTTTGGGGGGCTCAGCTGTGCGAATGGAAGAGGGTTTGAAGGCCACCCCACACAAAAGGAGGATTCCCATAAACTCTGGCGTCCCTGCCAGCCAGCAGAGCACGTCCCAGGTGAGCCCAGGGCCTGGTTGAGCCAAGCGGGGCACCAGGAACTCTCAACTTCTCCCCGTGTTAGCTGACCGGGCTTCGGCTGCCCATGACCCCGCTGGGGGCCTGTCCCCCTTGGGCCGAGCCCGGCCAAAGCCCCCTTTGGGGTTCAGCCTCACGGGAACCACAGAGCTCCCAGGGAGCCTCTCCCGCCTCCACCTACCCGGCAGCGGTTCCCGCAGCATCCGTAGCCGCAGCATCCTTTCCCGCCGGCCCGCACGGAGGAGCAGCCGGTGCAGAGGACCTGCGGGGAGGGAAAGTGGCTGGCTTGGAGGTGCCCCTCTGCCCAGGACGCCCCCTCAGGGAAGGCAGAAGCCAGGCAGCCATGGAGTTCACCACTCCCTGCTTCCCTGCGAGTGTCACCGGCTGGCACCAAGGGCAGCGCCCAGCTCCCGGCTCAAAGTCCAGGAGGAGCAGAGCGGAGCTTTAGAGGGAACCAGCTGGCCCAGAGGGAGGGACTGGGGGGGGGGGCGCTCTGCTTACAAAGGGTCTAGATGGAGTCGGGGTCTTCCTCTCATCATGACTCCCCCCCCTGCCCTGGCCATCCAGGAAGTGTTCTGCCTCCAGACATGCGGCAGCCTTGCCCAGCCCGAGACCCTTGGCCCGGAGCACTTGACACTCTTCGAATACTCTTCGCTTTGGAGCTCAAGTAAGCGTGCCATCCCTCGCCCCTCGCCCTGCCCCCAGGGGCCCTGGGAGAAGCTGCTCCGGCAAGGGCAGCTCCCAAGAATCCAGCAAGACGCCAGGAGAAGCCCCCGCCCCACCCGGCCCACTCACCATCAGCCCCCCGCCGATGACGCCCCCCATGAGCCAGGCCTGCTTGGTGATGTTATCCGGCGTCCATTGGTTCTCGGCGTTGGGGAAGAGCAGCAGGATGTTGGCTGCCATGCAGGCCAGGGCCGCGACCACCAGGGTGAGGCCCACCAGGCGGGAGCACTTCCCGGTGCACATGGTGGCGTGTGTGCAGGGGCCGCGCGAGAGCTTGTTTGTTCAGATCACTCGGCCAAAGGGCTCCCGTCCCGGCTGCCACTCCACCCACCGGAGCCCAACAGCTCCTTCCTCTTCCAGCCGGGTGGCCCCAAAGCCCTGGGAGGGGCCTGAGAGCCACACGGTTGGCATCCCCTGGGCACAGGTCAGAGGGCACAGTCCAGGGTCCTTGCCAGCCGGAGGCCAGACGCACCTCGCTGAGCTGTGGCTCTGCAGCTTTCAAGGATTCGGAGCCCTGCTTGGGGGCAGGGGGGTTAATGGGGCAGGGTCTGCTTGTGGAAGAGCCTCTCCGGTCAGCATCTGCTCCCCACAGCCCCTCTGATGCAGCCGGGACCCTCTCGGCTTCCCCAGTCTCCCACCCTTCCTGAGGTTGACTCCCTAGCCCCACGGCTTGTGGGTGGGGTGCTGGCATCGGTGCATCATCCTCTGCCGGGCAATTGCCAGGATCTCCCTCAAGCCCCCGCTCCCCCCCCCCGGTGGCTGTGGGGGGAGGGGGCCCAGGAGGGGGAGGGGAGACGAGTCCAAGCCTCATGTCTTCTTCAGCTGGGTGTCTCTGCGGCCATTGGCCTCCTTTGGTGTGGGGCCTCATTTCACGGGGGGGGGGATGTTCCCTTCTGGGGGGGGGCGTATGAAGCACTCTGCCTGTGGCCAACAGAGGAGAGGAATGGCTGTTCCTTCCCTGGGGAGACACTGGCCAAGGGCCCCCCCAAAGAACCCGCCATGCGTCTTTCCACCAAGCATAACCCCAGGACTGACGGGGCTGCCAGCCAGTTTAAGGGAGCCCAGAATCCCAGGAAGGGCCGGAAGGGACCTCAGAGGCCTTCTAGACCAACCCCCTGCTCAAGGTGTCAACCAGCACAGAGTCTCGGTGTGTCCATCAGTGCTTTATTTCCTGTGCCCCGCCCCCCGTGTCACTTGCGCCGGCGCCCTGCCGCACGGATCTGCCTCTTGTCCTTGCGCCGGCTCCGGGCCGGCTCGGGTGGCTCTGGGTTCCCATTGGCCAGGAGCGGCTGCGGAGGCGGCACTGAGCTCTGCCGGTGGTTGTTGGCCGAGGCCTTGTAGATGAGGTGGAAGATGAAGGCGTTGCAGTACCTGTCGGGGGAGGAGGGGCACGTGAGGGGGGGAGACAGTGGCCAGACGGGGCCAGGACACAAACGGTGGGGCCCTCTGCCCCAAGGGCCACGCCCGGCTTCCCTGTGTGCCAGGGGGAGGGGAGGGAACCCGGTGGCTGCCAGGCGGAGGCAGAGGAGGGCCCTCGTACCCACCAGGGCATGGCGTTGTCAATCCCGGCTTGTCGGAAGGGTGAGCGGAAGGGATTGATCTGGGCGGGGCTGGCACTGCCCCCCGTGGCCATGGAGACTGCGGCCTCATCCACGGCACAGCTGTAGGCGCTGCATTCGGTGAAGTAGGCTGGCACTCGGAGGGACTGCGGGGGCAGAGAGGCACGGTCATTGGCGGGAGGGTGGGGGGAGGTCTAGCCCGGGCCAAGCTGGTCATTGCTTGGGGGGGTGGGGTCTCGGTCAGGGCGGCTGGGCACCTGTTCCCCCTGGCGGCAGCTCACCTGCAGTCGCGGCAAAGCGCTCAGCCACGTCTCCTTCAGGGCAAAGCCGGAGTTGAACCCTGGGCAGGTCAGGGGCACAAGAGGGGGGGAGGCTGCATTAGATGCAGAGCAAGGATCCCTCCCCGCCCTTGGCCGCCCCCCCGCCCCTCCTCCTCCTCCTCTCACCAATCACCAGGTCCGGTTTGGGAGCCTGCAGGAGGTGGTATGGTCGGGCACTGAAGCCCAGCTGCAGCTCCCGGCGGCCTCCTTTGGCCCTGGGGGCCAAGCCGGGCAGGACGGAGACCCCCTGCTCCTCCTGAAAAGAGGCGGGGGGGGAGGTGATCACCCACTGGGGAGGAGGGCCAAAGGCAGGGGGAGAGAGGGATGTTCCCCATCCCCGGCCAAATCAGCCGGAAGATCCCTGGAGATCCCTGTGCCAGGAGTGGCCCCACTCGCTGGGGGTGAAAAGGGAGGAAGGAAGGAAGACACATCGCCCCCCCCTCCCGCTCCCCTGGGAATAACCGGAAGGGAGGGAGACTCACATCTCTCTGCAAAAGGAACTGCTGGCCGTCCAACTCGGGGGGCAACGTGTCCCCCACAAAGAGCAGCTCCAGGGAAACGTGGGGGAGCAACACTGACAACTCCTGCCGGGGGGACAAAGGAGGGAGGGGGAGGAAGGAAGGGAGAGGGCAAAGAGTCTAGCGACGGGCCATCGTGTTTGGGGCTCCTTTTTAAGCTGCCCCCCTTCTCCCCCTCCGCCCCCCAGCCTCCTTCGGGAAGGGCAAGAAGGCGGGTATGTTGGTGAGAGGCAGGGGAGCCCCCCTCCTGCCCTGGGGCTCCCACAGCCTTGGACTACAGTTCCCATCCCTGCCAGGCTGCCGAGCCAGAGGTCCTCCAGCAGACAGAGTGCCCCCCCTCTTGCCCACCTCCCTCCCCAGAGACCCTTCCCTACCCAGAAGACCATCAGGACGCCAAACTCCTTGCCGGCCTCCACCAGGTGGATCTTGAGGGACTGTTTGTTCAAAATGTTCAGCTCTGGAACTGAGAGGAGGGGGAGGGGAGGGAGGGAGCCTTCACTGAGCCTCCTGCGGCTCTTCTGCATGGGCCTCCCTGGGGGGAGGGGGGCTCTGTCCTCGGCCCCTCCCCACCCACCCCTAAGGCACTATAAGCCATGGCCATCCCTTCCCTTCAGCCAGGCCGTGGCAGGTGGTCCCAAATTTGTGCCCGGGGCCACCAGAGGCCCCTGCGGGCATGGCCAGGTTTTGGTCCCTGGCCCCCTAGGCCTCGCCCCCCTTCTCTGCCGCTGAGGGACCCCCACTCACAGTGCTGGGGGGCCAGTTGGGTGATGATGTAGTAGGCAGTGAGGGGATAGGTCAGCAGCACGGCCAGGGGGGCCCCGAGAGGCAGCCCCCGCCATTGGTAGTACTCTTTCCAGGACGCTGGAGGACAAGGGGGGGACATGGGGGTTGGGGGGAAGAAGAGTGATCAGATGGGGGAGGGTCTGTGCAAGTAGAGCAGGGGGAAAGGAGCCACACTGCCCCTTCCTCACCAAAGAAGGTCCGAGGTGTGGGGGGCTCTGGGGGTGCTGGGGGGAGTGCTGTCCCTCCTTCCGGCCTGAGGGCCTCAAAGGGGTTACCTGCAGAGAGAGAAAGCCCCCACCCCCAATTGTTCAAGGTGAGGAGACCCCGGCTTCGCCCCCTCCACTCCCTGAGTGTCCTTAGAGAGAGTGCCTGGGCAGGGGGACACTGAGATAGCTTTGCCCCTCTTGGTGGGCAAGACTGCTAAGACCCCTTACTCCGCAGTGGGAGGGAGGGAGGGAGGGAGGGAGGGGGCTGCACAGCCTCCTCCACCCAATTTATTCACTCCTTTCGCTGCCCGGCTGGGTCGGATGGGCAGAAGCCCCTGGGGGCGTTTGTGTCCCTCCAGCTAAAGCTCCACCGTGAAGAGCTTTGGAGTCTCAACCAGCACCCTTGGATTGCAGCCAGAAATGTATCCGGTGCAGTTTGTGAAGGGACTGGTGGGCCTGGTGCAGTCGGGAGGAGGAGTCAAGCAGGCTATTAGTCTGGGAAGGTCACCTGCACACGGGAGGCTCCCCTGGAGAGCCATGGAGGCTTATTCCCTCAAGGGGAAACTGCCAGTCTGGGGAGATTCCTACGAACCGGATATCGGCACTAAGCAAGGAAGTAGCTGGTTTGGAGTCTCTCGTGGGTGGGCCTAGTTATTTGCACCTGGCCCACAGCTGCCCTTGCTTGCTGCCTCTTCCAATCCCCACTCACCACTCTGGAGGAAGGGCACGGGGGTCTTCACGGGGCCCTTCTGCAGCCCCAGGCCATAGTCCGGGGCCCTCACCAGCATGCTCTCAGCCACCCAGTAGCCGCGGGTCAGCCCTCGCGCAAGCAGGAAGCCCTCCTTGTTGAAGGTGTCGCTGGTCACCTCTGGGGAGGGAAGGCAGGGTTGGACCCGCAGCTTAGCCCCCGTCTCTCCATCTCGGGGATGTGGTGGGGGTCCTACCGGCAGCAAAGGTGAAGGGGAGGTTGGCGAGCTCCCTGGCATGGCTCATGTACCCAGCCATGCGCTGGCACCAAAACTGGTGCCCGATGTCCTCGGGGCTGCGGCTCCAGTCCAGCTTCCGGCACTTCTCCGAGCAGTAGAAGACGGCGCGGCAATGCTGGCTGGGGGAGAGATAGAACTGGGCACGGGGGGCACAAAGCTGGGCAAGTGGCATGGGGGGGGGCAGGGCACGCTTTCCAGAATGACAAGAACTGGGACTTTGGAGGTCTTCTAGTCCAGCCCTATAAATCTTCAGATGGCGTCCAATCCCTTCTTAAAAACTCCCAGTGCCCCCCGAGGCGACCCATCGATGGCACCAGAAGCATCTCCAAGCCTTGGTGGTCTGGAAAGGGGGGCCCACCCCCACCCACCCCGGGCAGAAGGTGGTGACCAGACGGTGGGTGGGATGGGGGGGGGCTGCGATTCCAACTGCTCTGGACTCACCAGGCTGTGATCTGGCCCTCAAAACTGTGTCTCTTGCACACGTGACACGCCCGCACCCGTGTGGTGGGGAAGGAGAAGCTGGGCTTGGGGCCCCAGCCCCGCATCGGGCCCTTGCTCATCCGGATGCCCAGGCGAGCAAGCAGGGGCTCCAGGGACCTGCCGGGGCCAGAGCAGAAGAGGGTCAGGGGTGGGCAGACAAGGAGCGCCCCCCCCCCCAGCACCCTCCGGCCACTCACTTGTGCAAAACGGGGTCTCCCACGGTCAGCAGCTTCGGCCGGCGGGGCTCCCCAGCGCCCAGGGGGCAGAACATGCTGTAGCAGAGCAAGGCGAGGGCCCGGGGCTCCAGGGGCTCCTGCCCAGCCGCCCCCAGGAAGCCCCCCAGCACGAAGTCAAAGCCCAGGATGGTGCCGTACTCATCAGTCACCAGCAGGAGGTGCTCAACGCGCCACAAGGGCTGCCCTGCAGAGCAGAAAGGGGAGGGAGGGGCAGACGGGGGCCGTTTGGTGCTGGCTGCAGGAGACAGGATCTCCCCCTCCCCCAGTCACAAGACGAGGAAGGCTGCAAATAAATCCGATGAGCAAAGGAGGCCCCCCTGGAGAACCCGCTTCTTCCCTGGCATCCCCTGAAGGCAGACGAGTGGGAGGGAGGAGGGGCGGAGTGTCGGTGGGTCTCCAACCTCCTTGGGAGGGAGCCCAGGCGCCCTACAGTTTCTGGAGCCAGGACAGGGCAAAGCCAGCGGGTGGAGGGAGGACATTCTCCCACCAAGGCTCCAGCAGCAGCCGACAACGAGAGAAGCCCCCAACGGCCGCCCCCTACCCAGGTTGGGTGAGGCTAAGCGAAGGTCAAAGGTCATGGGTGGGCCCTGGCCTCTGCCACAGCCCCAGGTCCTTCCTGGGGGCCGGGGGCTTCGGCCACACACCTGTTTCCGTGGCCACGGCGTCCTCCTCCTCCTCTTCCTCCTCCTCCTCCTCCTCCTCCCCCCCGGCCCCCACGAAGGTGATGAAGCGCTCCAGGTCCTGCAGGGCCAGGGCCTCCTCGCTGTAGAAGCGGCCGCCCAGCTGCTGCCCGGGGTCGGCCACCGTGAAGGCCAGGCTGCGGTTGGGCAGCAGGTGGAGGATCCAGAGGGCCGGGTCGGGCGGCAGGCGGCGGATGGAGCTCTCCTGCCTCTTGCGCCGCTCGCTGCCCCGCCGGCAGACGGCGTCCAGGAGGAAGCGCTGGTACCAGCCGAAGAGAAGCTCGGCAAAGTCCAGGATCTCTGCCCGGTAGCCGGTCACAAACTCCATGCCTGCGGAGGGAGGCCGTCCTGTAAGCGGCACAGCTGTCCCCCCCCCCCTGTCCCCAGGCTCCCCCCCCAGGGACCCCAAGCGCCCAGGAAGGGGGGGGGGCATCCAGATCAGCCAGGGCTGGGGCAGGAGCGCGGCTTTCCCGGAGGGGCCCAAGCCCCCCGTCCCCTGGGTGAGAGTTGTGGGGGTCCTTGATGGCCACCAGGAAAGGGACCTGGCTTTAGCCCCTTCCCCAACAGCGGCCCAGGCCGGATCTCCCAACTCCTTCCCCCGCCTGGGGGCCAGACCGCCCCCACTCCTGGCCCAGCCTGCCTGCCGTCTACCTGAAGCGAGTACCGCCACCTCTTCAAAGGTAAATAGCCAGGGGTTTCCCTGGTTGCGCTGCGACCTCAGGGGTTCCGGAACCCTCCCCCCCACCTGCTCCTCCTGCCCAGCAGCCCCCCCCCCTCAGCCCTCTGTGGCAGAAGCCTCCCTGGCAGGGCTGCTGGTCCAGGCGGCTGCTCTGGGGTCTCCAGGGCCCCCCCAAAGCAAAGGGTGGGGCCCACTCCAGGTTCCCAGGCAGGAAACCCGGCCAGATGAGCGAATTCCCCTCTATCAAAGGGCCACATTAACAAAATTGTGCCCATCTGAAAGTACAGCCCCCTTTCGCAGCCGAAGCGGTATATAAGTCTACTGCTATTGCTGATCAGTTGGAGGGTGGGGATCAGGGGGGGGGGACTTCCCTCTGAGCTCCTTCCTCCGCCTGTGAGCCCCCCTTCCATTCTGATGCTGTTCCCCAGGCAGCCTCTCTTCCCCAGCCCCGTTCCCACATAGGAGCCCAGGGCCTCAGACCTCCCTCTCCCATGTTACGGCATCCTCAAGCGGGAAGGGCCCCTGGAGGCCATCCAGTCCCACCCCGGACCTCTCTGTCCCTCCCCCCCAACCGCTCACACGCCCCCAGCCAGGTCAGGCCACTTTATGACCCCAGAGCCCCACCTGGCCCCTGGCCCTTGGGCTTCCTTCCTCCCCCTGGGATTTGAGGGTGCTCAGCCTGGGGCTCCCTCCAGATGAGGGCAGGGGGTGGGGGGCATCAGCCACATAAACCTCCCACATTGCTCTGCCTGCTTTCCTTGCCTCAGCTACTTCAGCCAGATTCAGGGCACCCATTTTTTTTATTTTTTTTTATTTTTAAACAAACAAACAACAAGCAAAAACATAAAACACACACAACCTTCTTCCATTTCAGCTGGCGTGTCCTTTGGTTACAAGATTTTGTGCGTCCTTTCCATGGTCACCACTTGCAATTATATATCAAGTCACAAATTGTTCATTAGACAAACATAAGTACATTATTGTTANGACTCCATTTGAATTGAAATCAAGTGTACTTTTACTAATTATAAATGAACAGTTGCAAAGCAAAGCTGAGTCTGGTTAATTAGGCGCGAAAGCAGCAGCAAAGCAGAGGCTGGCATCTTCATTCAGACAAAAAATAGAAACAAAGTTTCAAAGCCTCTAGGTGGCAGTGTTACTTATCCAAAACCTTCCCTCTCTGTATTGCGTTCTCTGCCTTATTAAGAGAAAATAAAAAATAAAAAGCCAAATGAAACGCTGTATATAAAAAAAAGACTCCTAAACAGTGGAACAATAAAACTTAGTTATCAAACAGTCCAAAAAGTAAAAGGCAGGAAAACGGAAAAGAAAAAAGCCCATTCCATTTAACACTGCACTCATTAGAAAGTCCACTCAGGCTTCCAACAATAAAAAGGAGAAAAAAACCCTTTCACTTTGACTGTAGCCTTATATTCGCCGCTTACTCTCTCTCATCAGTCTTTATTTTAAATTAATTCTCTTCATTTAGGATGTTCTCATAAGTCAGAAAAAGGGTAAAAATCTCATCATGAATGACACGCTCTCTCCTGCACTTTCACTTCCGAAGCTGTCAGCAGTTTCGCCAGCCTTAATGGCTGCTTCCTAGCCGCTGGCAAAAGGGCTATTCCTGGATCACCAGAGAGTTTGCGGGTGTCTCTGGGATCGGCAGGATATGCCGCTTCCTATCACCATCTCTTCAGGGCAGTTTAGGTCCAGTTGGACCGTCCTGTGGCTGGAAATTCGGTGGCGGTCTCAGAGTCCCGAGATTGACCGTCGTGTCACCACAACATCAGCTTCCGGTCTCCCTCTTATCATTGTTTCTTTAACTTCTTCTTTTTTAAAATATATTTTTATTGTTTTTACATTTAAAATAGTGCAGCACAGTGAAGCCGTTATGGCCATACAATCACATTATATACAGATAATCTCATCCATTAGCTGTTAGCCTGCTTAATACATTATCTATCTGTTCTGACCCCCTCCTCCATCCAGTAACGAAAGCCAAGACAAGCTTAATTAGAATGTCCTTTAATAACAAGACCAGAATCTCGGTGGCTGAAAGCC